TATATCCTTGTTGTACGCCTTTTCCTATGCCTATGCTAAACCAATCAGTTGTTCCATATCCGGTTCTAACTGCCGCTTCTTGACCCTTATACAGGTTTCTCAGGAGACACGTGAGGTGGTCTGGTACTCCCATCTCTTTAAGGACTTGCCAGTTTGTTGTGGTCCACACAATCAAAGGTTTTAGCATAGTCACCACATACCTACTCATTATTAAGCTAAAACATGAGGAATTACCACAAACTGCACCAAAAAGGTCAAAGTGGTATGGAGTTTTTTGCAGTGAACCCCTGCCAGTTCATTTGGACTGCACTTTCTATGCTGATCATATGTAAATCTCCAGATCTGCTCTGCAGACCTGGAGGCACTGGAACAGTTTCTACATGGTAGGCTAGTAGTGGTGTGCCCAAAGCCCAAAGAATTTCAGCTGAAAACACCTAGTTACAAATGTTGTGTTGATTTTAACTGTATGGTGATGTATTGACAACAAATCTAATGAAAGACATCAAAAAGTAAAGAACAATCAATTAAGTAATGAAGGAAGGTAGGGATGGGTACGAACCTTAAAAAGGCAGTTCGGTTCCAGGCAGCCCCCAAACCAAACCCCAAACTGAATGGGCCACATCCAAATCAAACTGGTCCAGCAAGTTCAGTTCCCGCTTTCTCCCGGGGGCAAGGATTGCCCTGGAAGGGGCTTCCCTTCCACCTTTCTCCTGGCTTTCCCTGAACATCAGTTCCCGAGCTCCAAACCAGCCCACGTTTGCCCCAAATTTTGGCTTACAGGCCAGTTCACACCCATCCATAAACGAAGGTCTTTGTCTGTGTTAGAACTGCAGGCACGGGCATAGTGGATGGCAGTTTAGGTGCCATGAGATCTCCTTTTTCCATAAGGAACAAAATGGTTTCTAAGGTCACCTGATATCATTGACCTCATCACACCACAAGATTGACTATTGCATAGTGGTAGAGCTACACATCAATCTTCTTTTGTAAACAGGTAAAACATAAACACTTGCAATATTGCTATTTAACCTTTGCTGTGGGGAGATACTAAAACAATTACATGAGTATGCTTACTAGACTGATGCCTGGAGAGGACATGATGCCATGTCTACCATTCCCATTTCAGTTCTTTTAAGGAGTGTCTAAAAGCTATAGAAGATTGCTTGGGTAACCTTTCACAATACAGTTTTAATTAGTATTTATTTTCCGTACAAATTTGTTTTAGAACAAGCAGACCATGGAATCAAAACATATAATTATACTGTAAACACTGTGATATAATTCATTTTCCTGTGCCTGATACTACAGAAGGGAAATGGACATCAACCATTTCAAGCTAACCAGATGAAAGAATACAAATCTGCCCACCAAAAAGAGTATATAATGTGTTTCTAATAAACCAATAGTAACAGACATACCATTATGTTAAAAGTTTTGTTTTCCACTTTATATTTTGAAGTACAAATTGCAGATTTTAGTACAAAATTGTAAGTTAGTACAGTATAAACAAGAAGCTAAAATTCTGCTTTATTCCTTTTATTAATTAAAATATTTATATCCTATCTTTTCTCATGACTGGGAAGCAGCTTACACATCCCAGTTAAAACGTTATGATTCAAAACTGATTGAATAAAACCCCAGATATGCCCCTCCCCCCCAAAGATGCCTGCAATTTAGACCCCTTTCAAAGACCTGCAAATAAAACGGCCCTGCAGAACCTCATGACTATTTCTAACAGTGCTGCCCCCACCTCCTAAGGGATCCTGTTCCACTGAGTGGGAGCTACAATGGAAAAAGAACAACTCTGGATGTTGCCAGATGACTAACATAAGAGGAACAGCCAGTAGGATGCAGCCCAAGGACCACACTTTGGCACACGGGGTCATATGGGAGGAGATGGTCTTTTAGATATGTGGGTCCTAGGTCATAAGGACCTTGAATTGGACTCAGAAACGAACTGGCAACCAATGTAGCTGTTTTAAGATGGAAATGAGGCTGAAATGGACATTTGGCTGGCCAAAAAGTTACTTTTTCCCCACCATAGAGAACAATGGAGGGGATGGGGGCAACCTGTTCGGGGGCCAAAGAATTGGTTCCCCTCATCCAATGTTCTTGAAACTTGGTGAGTATCTTGGGGAGAGGCTCCAGCAGCTACCCTGAGAGTAGCCTTTCCCTCAAACCCCCTCCCCTCCAGCCCCCAGAATGTGCCCTATGTTTTTGCCATTGACTTCAATGGCCCATAGGATATAATGAGGCCAAAATGGACATTCGGCTGGCCAAAAGACTCCAAATGGCTGATACTGCCGAAACTGACATGCGGGAGTCTCTCTGGTGGCCGAAATTGATTCTGCCCAATTCGGCTGAATCCGAATCAGGCCAAATTTATTTATTTTTTGCACACCCCTACTCCTGACAATAACTGGACTGCTTCACCCTGAATGAGACATTTTTGGGATGTCTTTAAGGGCAGTACAATGCAAAGTGCATTACAGTAATTCAGTCATGAGATTACAGAAGCATGGATCCGAACAGCCAGATTGGCTGAGTCTAAGGAAGGAGAACATATTTCAAATAATGGATAAAAATAGAGACAGGAATGATCCAGGAAAATGTGGTTCAGTTTGTGGTTTGTGAACAACAAATTGTCATGCACTTGTATGTGCCAAACAAACTGGTTCAGTTCGTGATGCAGTAGAACGCCCCCCTCCCGCATGCTAGAGACACCAAACTCACAGGGGATCTCCAGCTGACTCTGTTCTACCTGCCCTCCATGTTTGGTGAGGACTGGATTTATGGGATCCAAGTTACAGCCCCCCCTCAAAGAAAGTTCTCCCAGGAAAGTGCTTTCTGGGGAAATGACAGGTGCGGGTTCAGGAGTGTATACAATGGACCCTGTCCAAGCTAGAGACATCAAACTTGCAGGGGGTCTCCCAGTGATGCTCCCCTACATGCCCTCCAAGTTATATGCAGATTGGACTTGGGGAGGGGTCTGAGTTATCCCAAAAAAAAGAAGATGCCCCCAGAAAAGTGCTTTTGGGGGAAATGTCAGGCACAGGTTCAAAAGTATAAGCTGCACACATTGAACACACCTATTGGTGTTTCCAAGCCTGGAGAATTTTGCCCCATTGCTTTGAAGTTGCTTTGCATCTTTGAAGTTTGGTAAATGTTTTGTTTGTGCAGAGACTGTCTGGAAATGTATCCAGCCACAAACCTCCACAAACTGCCTGAAAGATCATGGAAAGTTCATGCTGGTTGACCTGTCACGAACTTCAGTTTGCAAACCACGAACCAGCCAAAATTTGTCATGAACTTTAGTTTGTGAGCTGGTTCATGCCCATCCCTATATAAGAATGGAGTACTCAACTATGTCAAAGGCCCCAGAAAGATAGAACAATATTAGCTTAGATGTTCCCTATACAACTTTAAACAAAGATCATTCACCAATGCAACTAAAGATGTTTCAGTTCCAAACTCCAGCCTGAAGCTGGACTGAAATCGTCATCCAAAAATCCCTGGGACTGCTCCACTAGTAGAATGTTGTCTGGATAGAAAAGCTTGGTGCAAGTATTGGGGTGTTCAGACAGTGGGATTAATACTACATGTGTTATACTACTTAGGTTGTGGTCACATGTGCCAGAAAAAACTGGGGGGGGGGGGGGGGAGGCTATTTCCTCCAAAGGAATTTGACCGGCAGTTGCACAATCACACCTCTCTTTGAAGCTGTGGGCGCAGTCCGTCAGTGTGTGATCAAACGCAACTGTGGTTGAGTCTTTTCTTGTTTTCCCCCCATGCGCTTAACCGAGGGATCAATGAATCGCACCTCTTCACCGAGGGCTCCCTATAGAGTTTGCAATGATGCGCATAATACAAAGGGGGGGGACAACGGCATGGAGTTGGGTTGGCCTGATCAGACCATCCCGATGCCATGAGAGCGTGCTGGAGTGATCAGACACGGGAAAGTCCTCCGTCACCCGTTGCAACCTGTTAACTACCGGATTTTTCCCGGTGTCTTTTAACTCTGCTTCTGCGGCGGAGCAGAACGGATTGCCTACGGCTGCGGGGCACTTCCCAGATGTTGTTGTCTGATCGCGCCCTTTAAATCTGCCTGGCATTCGCACCTGCGTCGGGTATAATTTTGCATATGATCACAGCCTTAAGTTATTGTAGCCCAGAACCTGTACAGAAGGAGGTGCAACCTCCTTTCCCTTCCCCTCCCTGCAATAGACACCCTGGGAGGTAGGTGGGGCTGAGAGAGCTCTTACAGAAACTGCTCTTTTTCAAGAACATCTCTGACAGAACTATGGCTTACCCAAGGTCATCCAGCAGGTGCAAGTGGAGGAGTAGGGAATCAAATCCGTTTGTAGGGCAATTACTGTTTATAGGGCAATTACAATAATTACTGCTTATACTAGTCACTTTTCACATTTAAGAAAATAAATTTACACCACAGTATTTAGTGCAATAGGACTCAGCAATTAGATATAACTTTTTGTTTTAAGAGTTGTCTCAATTAATGCTTCTTTGAAATTTTCTACTTTAGTGGCAAAGGACTATAGCATTTTGAGCATGTATAAACCATACCAGTCACAACACAATACACCCAAAGCGCATCATCTTGTAATATAATGAGCAGGTTATTAATGGATAATCTATGACATCTCAACAATGAACATTCTGAACCATGTTTACACAGAAGCAGAGAGGAAGGAATATAAAACCATGCGTGATTTAGCATTCAACAATTTTGAAACACACTGGGATTGAAGTTTAGTTAACTTAGCACGCATTTTTCTAATGGTGTAAAGGACACTGTTATCTGTATGGGCAGCACAGAAAAACTTTCCTTTCACTTCTCCCTTAAACATATGCCTAAATTAGCCACCAATTCACCGAAGCATAAGCTTATTCCCAAAATAAACAATACAATATCTGCATGAATCTCAACCTAGGTTGTCCAATAGAGAAACCAGAAGACATTTTCATACCCTCATGTCACTTACCTTCTTTAATTGCATGAGGTTTAATAATACAACAGGTACAGTGTGTATATTTTGCAGTGTTTGCAGGCCCACGGCCTCCGCTAGAAGGGAAGAATAACTCCAGTTCCTGAAAATAATTGGAATTAAAGGTCATTAGCATGGCATGGTTCTGAGATACAACACACACATGAGGGTAGGTCCAATGAACTGTGAACAGAACAAGTTAACGGAAGAGATATCTTCCCCTTGCTACAACCTGCAGTCCGCTATGCTGCATCCACTCTGTTTGCCAATGCAAGAGGAGGGGGGGGTGTCTTCATTTCAAGGTGTTGTGTGATTCTTTTCTTTAAGTTTTTTTAAAATTCCATGTACCTTTATACATCACCCCATCCCAGAAACTGCTGGATAGTAGGTATTCAATTAACTTTCACATATGAATGAACAGAACTAACATTCAAATGAAATTATAGCATGTCGTGTGTAACAAGGGTCAAAAAGCAGAAGGCTATAAGGCTATTATAATAATGGTCACTTCAGTAATCCCACTCTTTGCATTTAACACCTCCATCTTTTACTAGCCCATTGTTTCGGTGGATAATAGCTTACATCTAGAGAATCACAAGCTCTATCCTACTTATGCAATTGATCTTTGCTACATTTCCCTTCAAGAAGCACCCACTGTACTATCTAAAAAGCAACTGCTGAGGGTTACAGGATTCCTGGAAATAGCATAGGAAGCAGTTTGGAAGGGCTGCAGTGAGAAGGAGGAATTGGCAGAAATTGATACGCACCCCTTCCTCCGCTCCTGTGCAAGTGATGACTTTCAGGAGGTGCAGGGGACTAATGGCAACAATACATTATCTGGACACATTAAGAAAGTGTACCTGTTCTATCAAACCCAAGAGAATCAGAAAAGCAGGCCTGTAGCTGCCTTACAAGTTCCTAGATATTGATTCACTGTCACTCCCTGCTTAAATTGACTATCAGTTATTTTACTTTATTATTGTGTATTGTACTAAACTGATTTGTTTGTAAGTTGCTTTGGGAATTCTGGTTGGAAGTAAAGACACAATAAAAACAACAAACCTTCTGCTATCTCAAATTTCAAGACTTCTTGCATGCCATCTAGTGTACTCTGAGAGACCCAACAACAAGCATTAGCAAAGGTTGCATTAAAACCTATTAGAAAACAACCTGATGAATTTTTAAGTTTAGGACTGAACATTTCCTAAAAACCATGACCTCATTTCTTTTGGCACAATGGCCCCACAGTTTAAACAAATGTATCAAATGAGACAGGATTAGAATTTCTTGCCCTACATCATCTTTCTAAAGCCTGTCAGAAGAAACAGAAATAAAATCCAACACCACAAAAAATAATGTTTACATATATGGAGGATAAAGTTTTCAGAAACTGAATGGTAGACCTTTAAAAAAACCAACCTAGCTTGTTCCTGTAGACTGGCACTACAGTGGTGTCAGAACGGTGTTTCCCCCCTACAATTTGCAGCTACAGGGGAGTGCTCTAGGGCACATTTATTTGCTTTATTTGTTTATTTATTTAGTCTTTTATTCTGCCCTCCCCACAGGTGGACTCAGGGCGGATTATATAACAGGTTCTCAAGCTTTCGGTTCATTACAATGGGTCAATAAATACCATATTTAGAACAAAACTAAGAATTTAAGTATACAGCCTCCAAAGCTGGTGCCGCTAGATCCCTAGGTCTTCTTGATCTGTGCCGTGTGAAGATGGAAAACTTCAGCAAGGGAGGCCGGCTTTGTTGGCCTAGCACAGAGGTCTGCAACCTGCGGCTCCGGAGGTTTTAATTTTTCCACCTACAGGGACTTGTCGATAAGACAGGAGAACCGTCTCTGGTAGTTGAGGTAAATTACTCCCCGTAATCAAAAATATCTGTGCCAAAACCTGCTTCCAAAGTGTTTTTAATAATTGGGCAATGCCACCAACAGTGCAAAAAGTCTCCCACTCGTTCGCAGGATTTCCAACATTTTGGATTTATGGTGGAATGTATGAGATGCATTTTAGTAGGGGGTAGATACCATCTATTTAAAACTTTAAAAGAATTAAAACTTATACTAAATATTTTAGATGTATTGCTAGGTGAGTTCCAAATTTTCCTCCAATCCAATTCTTGAATCCTGTCTAGGCAATCCATTTGCCAAACTGCCTGATAAGATAGTTTAGATCCGCTTATCATGGATATAAGTATTTTATAAATGCTACCGATGCCTTTAATCTCTCCATTTTGTTTCTTAAGTAAAAATTCAAATTTTGTTAAAGGTCTCCTAAAAGTATCTGACTGTTGTATAGTATTTACCATATGATTTACTTGCAAAAATCTATACAAGGGTATTTGTTCACCAATTTTAGCTTCTAGTTCTGCTTTATTCAAAGGTTGTCCTTTTAAAACCAAATCTATTAGATGTGTGATGCCAGCTTGCACACTGTTCTTGTGCTGGTGGGAACCAGTGTTGATTTTTAAAACTTGCTATTTGGAAGATATTTTTTGATAATGTTTTTCTGCGTCTGTACCAACTTTTTAAAGAGGTTTGTAGAATGTTGTTTTCAAATATAAATTTAGGTCTCTACTCAGGTTGGTTCCAATATAACTCCAAAAGTGGAATAGAGTCAGCGTATGCTTCTTCAATTTGTTGCCAGCGAGGGATCACTTTACTATTCATGACTCTGACCATATTGGCCAGATTAGCTACCTCATAATATAAGGCCAAATTTGGGACATCTAAACCTACTTCTGAAGAGCCTTGGTACAGCGTTGTAGATTTAATTCTCGGAGATATACCCACAGCATTTGTATGCATGGCAAAGAATTTACTCCAGGTTTGCTTTAATAGATATTTCTTTGTTCACAGGAGAGTTTACAGATGCTGCATCTTACAAGTTTCCTTGGCAACTGCTGAGGCTATGTAACATTTTACGAGACCTGTCTATTCAATACATAGTTCCAAGGATTGTGTCAATCTATGGTAATTACAAAGTAAGAACAACAACACTATGGTATCAGAACCTGCAGACAAGTCTATCAGAATAGTGCAACTGAACTTCTAACATAAAAGTGAAAACAAATTATTCTTAAATCTGCCGCCACCTCCAGATCTAAATGTTTCCCCTGCTGCTCCACAAAACATGAGTTATAAAATTTACTGCCCTGACTTGGGTGGGTCAGGCTAGCACAATCTTGCCAGATCTCAGAAGCTAAGCAGGGACCACCTCCAGGGTCACTCACTCCACCACGGCAGGCAATGGCAAACCCCCTCTGAACTTCTCTTGCCTTGAAAAACCTATGGGGTCACCATAAATCAGATGTAACTTGACAGCCACATAAATTATTGCTCAACAAGGTAATCATGCATGTCTCATGCAACACACTCACTATATTACACATTCATCTAGACACTCCTTTTTCTCCATGAATGGCCTACCTGCTGATAGGATAGCACATTAGATTGCAGCATCAGGTCTGCAAAGAAACCAGTTACCAGTGTCCCTTACTACTTTCCCTCGGTTCCACTACTATCCTAAGTCAGTCTTAGTACACCAGCAAATGGAAGAATGACATGCTAGATCTCTCAGAGAGTCACATATATCATTATCTGGGTTATGAGACAACCTGAACCTTTTTACTTACCTCCCTCAATTAAATCTAGTCAAATGAATAAGTTCATGGAGGGGAGAAAGGAACATGCTGGGAGATACAGATCAGAAAGGGGGGGAGTTACATCTAGAACTACAGAAAGGGGGACGGTTACATCTACAGTTGCCCTAGCTTTCTCCTGCCACCACATTTTCAGTCTTTTAATCTATACAACTAAATATGGACACATACATAATGCAACACATCATTGATGTAGTTGATTGCTATATATTTTCCCACTCCTACTTTTTAAAAAACTGTATGTGATACATACATAGCAAGAATACATACAGAGCCTAAAAACATGTTACAGCTCCCCAGACATCACTTGTCCATGCAGCACAAAGAGTGAATAATAAAAGACAATGCGAACAATGCTATTCTTAGCTGCTCCTATCAGCCACAAGAAACATGTTTCCATGGAAAGCAAAACAGAACACAGGTATCATAGCACAATACAGAAGTGCCCTTCTGTATAGCATGATTTCTTGAAGTGGAAAAGAGATATATAACAGTCTGGCCTTCCGAAGAGTCTCAGTTCCAATAAAGCCTTTATAACTATTCCAGATGGGCTTCATAATCCATCATAACAACGCAAAAATATGTTAATTAATAAAATCTATTTATGAGCTGTTCTTGTCAAATGCTCATCTCTTACATGAATACACACATACACACTGAGAGAGAGAGAGACAAACAGGCATCATTCACATGGTGCGGGTACTAAAGGCCTGCATCTACTACTTCACTATGCAAATAGAAGACACTTCAGTTAGAGTAAGGCTTCTTAGACTGAAGGAAGGCAGGATGCTGCCCATATTCTCTGTTCACACAGCATTTCTGAATATTGAAAAGATAAATATGTAATCTCCATTACATCTTCCCACTATCCCACAAACATCCAAAAGGTCCTTATTGTTGAGGGGGAAGAGAAGCCTTAATAGGAGTGCAAGCAGTCATCCATCATCTATCTACAGCAGGGTCCTTAACCCTGAAGAAGTAGTGAGTGCTACCCACAAAACAACTACTGTGGGGGGAGGCAAAGCCTACCACAAAGTAGCTGCCATAGATGCTGGGTCCAGTGACAAAACACTGGGAAATCCCAAGCCAAGTGTCCTCCCTATGATGGGAACACCTGCTTCCAAATGGATGTTCACTACAGGCACAAAGGTGATTCCTCCTGGGCTCTTCTGAGGTAGTTTCTGCTCCAATTAGGTGGAAGAATGCCAGGACTGGGTTTCTGATTTGGGGAAGAAGGAAGTGAGCACCAGGAAAGACATTGGTGGACACCATGGCACCCATGGAGACAAAACTGGGCACTACTGAGCTACAAAATCAGGAAGAGCACTCTAAACTGGGAGTAGTGGATTAGAAAGCACATCTTTTATTGCTGGGAAGAGATTTCCAGACCCTTTCCATGTAAATGCCAGCAGTAGCTGGGGCTCTGCCTCAATAC